GGGCAAGCAGCAGGGAGGCACGGATAGGGGCTGTGCCACACTCAACGACATAACAAACGAATTATGTCACGAGTTTGTTAAACAATTCGAATGTTTTCCTGTAAAGCTTCTCGTCTACCCGCTGACCCCCCTGCCTGGCAGCCCACGACAGCTACATCCAACCACCCAGTCAACAAGCCACCCAACAGATAGTCAAGGCATTCTGATACCCTGCAATAAATGGAACTCACATGGGGTATGCCTATGTATAACAAATGTGCCAATCAAATATTGTTAAAGAATAACAAAATATTAAAACAATGAAAAAGATTTTTGTTTTGTTTTAAAGGAATTTATATATTTGTAGCACGTCCTCTTCTATATAACTTTTTTGTTTACTTTACACGGAATCCTCTCCTATCCCAGGATATGTGGCTAGTCGTGCCCTCTCTTCGCTTTCCCACACAATCTCCCTTCGTTTTATTGCCTTGGCGCCGGCGCACAGTCAGAATCGCAACTCGACTCGTCTCAACTTGGTCTCAAAATCATTTCGACTCGTTTTTCGGGGGCTTTTGAGCTCAATTCTTGAGTTGATTTCGTTTCTTTTTTGGTCCTTAGATATGTTACGTTATATGGTTATAAATTATTTATTGCCCCCCGCTGCAAAGTATTACAAAGGCAATTTTCCGTTTGCCATTTTCCATTTTCCCATTTGCCATTTTGTTGTCCAGTTGTGAGGAACTCTCGAATCTTTTGCAGCTCGCAACTTCATTAACTTGGCGCGGCGGGTAATAAAAATCTGGCACGCTTTTAAAAACCAGTCCCCACCCCTCGTCCCCATCCAGCCCCGACCCCTTTCAAATCTGCACCCTTGAAATATATAATTTCCGCACATTTTCACGTTTCGCACATTTCCGTTGCATACTTTTGTGCGCGCGGCCATTTTCATGTTGTTCTTATGCCCGAATACTCTATGTGCTGTTATATAGTCGTGCATTATTTTATTTTATACAAATTCTTGCTGCCATTCCAAACTTGTTGTTGTTGTATTTGTTGTTGTAGCTGTTGTTGTTTTTGGGGTTTCGTTTGTAGCTGGCATTTTAACGAGTTAATGCAGGACATGCAAATGTGAACATTCTGAATTCATTGAACTTTTACACGACGGCCCGAACGGCAAAGACAACAACAGTAACAGCGACGGCAACGTCAACGCAGACGCCGACGTAAACAGCAACGTCGACAATAACAGCAACAACAACAGCGACGCCAACGCCAACGCCAACGTCGCTGCCGTTGCCATCGCTGCTGCTGCTGCTGCTGCTGCTATCGTGTGGCTTCGTTAGCGTCGAAGTTGACTGCGGCGTCAGGTTGTTTGGCAGAGAGAGTAAATGAGAGAGGGCGGCAGGCAGCGCGAGCTATTAAGTTAGAGTTGGTAGAGTGAACAATGTCGAATCTTTTATGCCCTTCCATAAACCAAATTCATTTAATTCATTTCTTTAATGCTTTACATACTTATATATTATTTGAATAATTCAGACCACCTTTCTTTACATTATCTAATGGGTATTTTTTATGTTCAATATTTTTTTTAATCTCCATTTATGTCTCTATAATTTTTCTTTTTTCTTTTCATGATTATTTCTCTACTTTAACTAATGTGTTTCTGATTAGCAAAAGAAAACCCCAAGTATATAAGTAGTCTTATGTTTTTAAGCAAAAGAAATATCCTACAACTGTTATTACATTTTTTAATACCATTAAGAGACTCTGTCACTCTCTCTCTCTCTCTCTCTTTCGTTATGAGAAGAACTCGAGATATGCATGAATAATTGAACTCGGCGTAAAAACCTGAATATCAATGGAAAGACATACAATATTCTCTTTTAAGCATGTTATTTAAATGACATTTATCCTGAACATTCCAATTTCTTTTGGACTTTATTATGCACTTGGCTTGTACCCCTTTTTCTCGCCCCCTCTCTCTCACTCTCACGCCTTCTACCGTTCGTTAGGACATCTAAAAAGCTCGTTAGGCAAATATTTACCAGGAAGATTTATTTTCATTTCATTTGTGTGTGTTTTTTTTTGTTGTTGTTATCTTTCTCTTCTTCGCTGTGGTTTCTTCGTTTTTCTTTGTGTTGGAATATTTCTGGTACATTTTACACGATGCGTGTTCATTTCTTGCAGTCGAGTGCTTGAATTTGATTTTTTTTTTTGCAGCTTCCCTGTCGAAGGCTTTTGTTTTTTTGGGGGTTGCCATTGGCAATTCTGGGTATCTTAATGAGTCCTATGCAAATATATCTTTAGACCCAAGTGTCTATACGTGTTGACTTGAGACCTTTCATACGACCAAAAGATAAGACGCACCCGTCCTTCGCGTTGATTTTGACGGGGGGTTTAAAACTGGACGCTAATGTTCGCAGGGTGGCAACTTCTAAAATCCGGTTGAGGCGTGGTGGGGTTGGGGTTGGGGTTGGGGATGGTGTTGGGGTTGGATTGTCCGGCAGCGGGAACTAAACCAAATTTCAATCTCAATCGTCAACAAGTTTTTGCCAATCTGCTTGGCTCGTTGCGGCCAGAGCTTGGCTCTCCACTTGCACAACTATTTCTATATGCAGGCAGGGGTTGCGCACTGAGAGAGGGCTTGGGTATGGAGAGGGAGGGGTAGGGGGAGGGAGTTGTGGCTACCACTTGGTAATGCATGAACAAAATTCATGGGAAAACTTGAGCTTGGACCAGCCTGGACCAGGCTAAAGCGCAAAACGGAAATTTCAACCGTGTCCTTTAGCAAAGGCAAAGCCAAAAGCAGCAGCAGCAGCAACAGCAACAACAACAACAACAACAACAACAGCGACTGCATCAACAACTCGAGCACCCAACGAGTTGTTCGTTCTGTTCGCTCCTGGTTTTTTGGCTGCTTTTCTGATGAAAACTACTCAGCGACATGAAACTTAACTTAAAAGTTTTGCACTTTCATTTTGTAAATGTGAAATGTTGTATTTGTTGCTGTTGTTGTTGCTGTTGTTGTTGTTGCTTTTGCTGTTGCTATGAAATAGCAGGAAAACAATTTGGAGCGGATAATGAATATGGGTTAGGTAGGGCATGTGCCATGTCTGAATATAAGAATATCATTTGAGTGAAGAGCTGCTCCCCACAACCTGTAATGAGACTCTCGAGAGAGAGATAGCGATAAAGAGAAATGAGGTCCTGCCATAAAGTTCAGACAAAAGATGTTTGCAACGCTGGAAATGTGCATTGAGTTACTTGTGAATAAAGTAATGTGAATAACATTAGATGAATTGCATGTGAATTGACGTTCTCTCTGGTTTGTAAAAAGATATAGTTAACTTGAGTGATTAACATAGCATATGACTATCTGAATAATCTCATCAAAAATACGATCAAAATGTTCTATGAATAAGTGAATACACTTACGAGTGCATTCATGAATATTGTGAGTAGCTTTCATCGCATAAGACATGCCTATTGAAAATAATATCGAAATTAAAAGTATTCACTTTGACTCATGATTGTACAATGAATATATGTACATATAAAGCAAGCTTTTAGTCAATCTTTTGCTTGGTCGATTAAAAGCTGTCATATTAAAAGTAATAATAAAATTAAAAGTGAATACACTCATGAGTGTATAATGAATAGTTTGAATACTAATGTATACAAAGCAAAACTTTAGTCATTCTTTTGCTTGGATGAATAAAATATAATAATAAAATATAAAAATAAAATTAAAAGTGAATACACTCATGAGTGTCCAATGAATAGTTTGAATACCAATGTAAACAAGACGAGGCTTTAGTCATATATATGCTTTGGTGAATATAGTTGTGAATAAATCTAAAAATATATAAATTACAAAGGAATATATGCATGGAATGAATCGTGAATGACTCGCTGCTGTCCTCATGCAAAGCTATTTTGCTCTTATGTGAGTACGTAATCATAAACATTGTGTATCCTGTAATTACATATTTTATTCATATGAATACGGCACACAGGTATTCAGAGCGATTAACTACAATTTGACACGCCTGCAGGCCAATTGCCAGCGGAAATGAGAATCTGAGTCCCGCTACGCTTAGGGACAACGGGATGACTTGACGCTACATGCCAGAAGTCAGCGAAAGGACGAGGAGCTGGACGAGTACTCTATCATCCTTATTCAACCTTATTCGAATGCCAAAATAAAGGCACAAATGGAACGCAGCAGCAACAACTGTTAACTGGATTTTTGTTGGCTGCTGTGAGTCGTGCGGCACGTAATGAAAATGGCGCACATGGCCACAGTCCTGGATCGGGCGCTGGTGCGGGTCCGACGCAGCTGCTGTTGCTGCTGCCCGACGCGGCACGAGCAGCACACTGAAGCCGAACGCCAGCTCGACTGACAATTTTATGAACAGATGTGTGGTAAAATTAATGGACAGAGATAAGCTTGGGCGGACGTTGCCAAAGGAGGGTTAAACGCCAGAGCGAGAGATTGAGAGAGCTAAGAGAAAGAGCGACGAGTGAGAGAGCGTGAGTGGGAGTGCGAGTGTGTGTGTGAGTGAGCGTATTTTTGAGTCAGTTGCGAGTGCATTGCAATGCGAGCTCAACCACCAGAAAAAAATGAGCCCCTGCTCGGGCGCCTGGCAAGCGTCTAGCGTCCCTGCTCGGGCGCCTGGCAAAACATGTAACGTCCCTGCTCGGGCGACTTTTGTATGTCAATTGTGTGAATGGTTATGGTCGAAACTTTACACTTGCCATGCAAACAGCGCAGTCGGCGCTGGCGTCAGCGTCGCTGTCGCTGCTGCTGCTGCTGCTGTTGTTGCTTGGAAATGCCGGATTTTTGTCAAAGCTGTTGACTTCGTTACGCTGATAACTTAAATATGCATAGGAAATTTACATACGTGTCAATGGTATTAAGTAGCATTATATTACTGGATAAGCAGCAATCTCAGGGGGGCAATATTGTAGTGCGCGTTTCTCAACAGCAGCACGCAAATATATATTTGGTTGAAACTCACCTGAATGCCGTGAGAGCCGCCGCCCTGTTGACTGATGTGCAGCTGCTGAGTTTGCTTCATTTGCAGCGTGGTTGTTGTTGCCTGCTGCTGCTGTTGCTGCTGCTGTTGTTGTTGCTGCTGCTGCTGTTGCTGCTGCGTGGCATTGGCTGCATTGCCGCCAGGCACCGCATTGGGATTCGACTGCGGCCCACGAGGCGGCTGCTGCTGCTGTTGCGGCTGCTGCTGCTGCTGCTGGGGCATATTGCCCGGCGCCTGGTTGCCTTGAGGGCCGCCGCGTGGCGGGCAGTTGAGGAAGTTGGCGTTGGCGTTTTGATTGCTGAATGGCGAGTATTGTTGTTGTTGTTGCTGGAGCTGTTGCTGCTGCTGCTGCGGCGTTGGCACCTGTTGCTGCTGCTGCTTGGCAAAGTTGCCAGCCGCGCCCATGGGCACGCCCATCTTGGGGCCATTGGGATGCTGCTGTTGCTGCTGTGCATGATGTTGCTGCTGCTGCTGTTGCTGCTGCTGTTGCTGCTGCTGCATGGCCTGCTGCTGCTGCAGACGCTTGAGATCGAAATCGTTTGGTGAGGAATAGAACAGCTCCTGTTTGATATCCAAAAAGTTTTGCTGCACATTCATGCCCGGCCCGCCGCCCGGCGCCTTCTGATGGAACTGCGGCGGCAAATGTTGCTGCTGCTGCGTGGGATTTGGGCCCATGGCAAAGTCATTTGGAAAACCGCCGCCGTAGTCATTGTAGCGCGGCTGCTGCTGCTGCTGTCCTTGGCCCGGACCGCCCATCATTTGGCCATGTTGCTGCTGCTGCTGCGGCGCCTGCTGTTGCTGCTGTTGCGGCTGTTGCTGCTGCATGCCGTGCGGCGGGCGTGGAAAGCCGCCCATGCCGCCCATGGCGCTCTTGTGCTGATGCTGCTCGGCCATTTGCTTGAGCGTCTGCGCGGCCAGCGAGTGCTCGGACATGAGTCCGCCGGGGCCATTGCCGCCGCCGCCGCCCGCTGTGGGACCGCCGTTGCCAGCATTGGCATTGCCGTTGGGTCCGTTCTGGAAGCCAACGCCAGGACGCATTTTCATGGACTGCGGGTCGAGGCCGAGGCCAACGCCGAAGCCACCAAAGCCATGGCCCAGACCCGCCTCGGACTTCACATTCAGGCTGTTGATCAGATCCTGGGCATTGGGCGGCTCCACCTTGATGCCATCCTCGGTCTTGATGTCCAGCAGCGGCTTCTCGTCGAAGCCGTCGAGGAAACTGGGATTGAAGTCGTGCAGATTGTTGATGAGATCCTTGAATGTGTCATTGTTCTCGGAGTTGTCATCGCCCAGCAGATCCGGAAAACCGGGAAACTGGCCATTGGCGCCGTCCTTGTCCAGCGAGACCAAGTCCGGAAAATCATGATCTGGCTCCCGTTTGCATTCGACCAAATTGGCCAAATTGCCGAGGGCGGACTTTTGCTGGGCGGACATCATGTTGGGTCCCATGCCGACGCCCACGCCGCCGGGTCCTGTGGACATGTGGCCACCCCCGCCAGGACCCCCGCCGCCGCGCCCATTATTGCCGAGGCCACCCAGACCGCCGCCTTGTTGTTGCTGCTGCTGGTGGTGTTGTTGTTGTTGCTGGTGTTGTTGCTGCTGCTGCTGCTGATGCTGCTGTTGCTGATGCTGTTGCTGCTGATGCTGTTGCTGCTGATGTTGCTGCTGCTGATGTTGCTGATGCTGCTGTTGATGTTGCTGGTGCTGCTGCTGCTGTTGCTGCTGTTGCTGCTGATCGGCGCCCCCTCCTCCCCCGCCGCCCACGCCTGGTTCGCTCTTGACGGAGGTGTTGGTCAGCGCCTTTACTGTGACATTGGTGCTGATCTGCTGCGGCTGCGAATTGGCCGCCGATGTCGTGAACTCCAGTTGTTGCACAATCTCCACGGAGAACTTGGTTAGATTCTCTGAGCCGCCGCCAACGCCGCTTGAGCTGTTGTTGTTGTTGTTGTTATTATTATTGTTATTATTGTTGTTATTGGGCAACTTGTGCGGCGGTTCATAATTCTCGGCGCCATTGTCAACATCGTCCGCTGGTCGTTTTAGGATTTTTTGTTGCTGCAAAAGAATATTTTTGAACTAATTTTAAAATGGGCATTACATGACAAGTATACCCGGCATTGCGCGGGTCAAGCATTTCTTATAACATTAAAAGCATGTTTTTCGCCATTATTCCACCTGCATAAGTGGATTTTTCAAAATCATTTAAAACGCGTTCAAAGCCAATCGGAAAATTTCCCTAACTTCACGAAAAGCGAGCAATTATTTTCACAATCATATTTGGAAATGAGTTTAAAGCAAATAAAGCGAATAGATTATAAACAAAAAGTTTCACTTAACCATATTCCCGAGCATGCAGCTGGGGCATACCATCAAAATGTCAGAAAAGCCAAACTCTATGAAAAATACAGCTTTTCAGCTCTTACGCAGTCAGTCAGTCAATCAATCAATCAATGTCAGGCCATACATTTGCATATTTATAGTTAAAGTAATATTTATATTTAAAAGTAATTGAATTTACATCTTACCCAAATATTCATAGATATAGTTTTTTAGTTTTTATGCTCGATTAGGCAAAGTATTTATAAGATTCAGTTTTACAGCATGTGCGAGTTAAGAGTTGAGGTTAAGTTGAGTTTTAGAATTGAAGTCTATGTTTTGAGAAACTGTTACGATTTGAGATTATGTTTGATCACTTAGGAGGCTTGCGGCGCGGCTTAGACTTGATAAAAGTGGCGCTGTCGGCCAGTAGTGTTGTAGAATGTCGACAGTGTTGCTAAGCGTCGACAGTTGTGCATTTTGTTGCGTTTGCTGCGTGCGCGCATTTGTGTTTTTGTTTTTGTTTTTGATTTTGTTTTTGGTTTTACGTTTTTCTCAATTTGCTTCTGATTAGAGTCTCTTTTGATTGCAATTTGATTGGGCAGCTGCATACAAGGAGCGACAATTCGATTAACACTTTACACAAAAGTTCAACAAGAACAGCAACAAAAGGCGAGCGCAAAATGCGCTGACATGACAAAAATAATCAAAAGAAATTCACTGCAAGGCGTGCACAAAAATTTATTGAAAACATACAAAAGACAAAAGCGAAGAGAATGAACACAAAAACGCAAGTGCGCAAAGACAACAATAACAACAACAACAAAACAAAATACTCCAAAGACACTTCTAATCAGCAGCGACGTCGGCCGCACAACTGCAAACAGACTACGCGAGCGTGAGTAGCAGAGCGCGAGCAACCCAGAGCGGGTGGCAAATGACGCGACGTCGACGTCGCTGCTTTTGTTTTGTTTTGCTGCTGCTTGTTGCCTGCTGTGCTTTTAGCGCAAGAATGAAAAGCAACAAAAACAAAAAGAAAAACAATCACATTTAAATCAGAATGTGTTTGCTTTTCAGTTTTGTTTTCTCGCATCGCCGCGCTGCGGCCATAGCTCGCATCTGATCGGCTCGGCTCGATTCGGCTCGCGCCAGGTCGACTCGGCTCGGTTCGGCTCGGCTCGGCTTGGATCGAATCGGCAGACCGCGCGCGCGACTTTTGCTATTTATTTTGTTTTTAATTAATGCAAAATGTATACAAAATAGCAGCGCATAGGCGCAGCAGAGAGCAAGGGTCGCGCGAGGTGCGCGGGCAGCGGCGCGTCTGGACAAAGCGAGTGTTTTTTTTTTTTTCTTGTTCTTCTCGTTGTTTCATTACACTTCTGTTTGTATGTGCGGATAGCGCTTAGGGTTTGACAAAAGGCAGCGCAGCGGCAGAAGAAGAGCACTCACATACATATGTACACACACACACACCCATGTTATATATACATACATGTGTATATGCATTTACACGAGCGGAGGAAGTTGCGAAATGGATTGAACGGTAAACTGACACGGGATTACGTCGCAAGCACTGGGAGCAGTTTTTTGTGTGGGTACACCTTGAAACGGGTACAGTTAAAGTGGGTGTTTCAATATTCATTGCTTTTACTTCATTCGTGGGAGAACGAATCAAGTGAGTGTTTCGAGTGTATTCATTTTTCAATTAAACACTTCTCAAACAATTTGTATTCAATCCTATTTATTTATACAATATGAATATATTCAAACAAATTCATTAGTGTTTTTTATTAACACTCATTACGTTTAAATCAAACATAAAATACTTGATTGGCGATAACAATTCAGTCAGTTATAAAAAATGAACTCATTTATTGAATATTTGAAAGTATTCGTATAGAATTATGAGTATTTTTAATCAATTTATCACTTCCACAAAATAGCTCGCATCAAATTCACCAGACAAAAGCAATTGTATGCATAGTCGATACTCTTAGTGCACATCATTTGCGATATTCATATTCATAATAAAATGATTCACATAAACTTTATGTGTATTTCTCTCCGACATAGTCAAGCACTTTCCCTAATCCGAACAGTCGCAGCACTAGTTAATAACTTTATGACACACAGACACTCACACTTACACTTACACACACACATTTGAAACACTCACACTCAATGCAATATTGCCTCTGGCTGGGTACTCGCAATCTTCTCAGTGTCCGTCGTGGCCATAAAAACCGAGTGAACCGATACACGCGCCAAACACTTTTCCCATTCGCTCGGCTCATTATGAATAAATGCCGTTTCATAAATTTGTTTTTCTTTCTGGGGGAGGGCCCCTGCCCCGTTTCACCCTCTCGCACACTCTGGGTTTTTGATACAATGTACCCATTGAAATTCTGTGAATAGGGTATATTGGTTTTCTGGGCAAATATGAGCAAGACACTATAAAGAATGTTGCTTATACATATATTATGATTTTACAAATATCGATAAATATTAATATCTCGATAGGTATTAAGTAAGGCGAGTAAGTTCTCTCTTATTTAATACAAAAGTCAAGCATATTTGTGCCGGGCCGCTTGTTAATATTTACAGCAGCTGCCCACAGGGTATTTGCCAGTCGAGCACTCGCCACTTGTTTCGTTTTGGCAGAGCTTTCTCACCTCCTGTGCGGCTCGCTCTGTGGGCATCTCTCGATGGAAACGTGACACAAAGAATGCAAAACTCTTGCGCTTGGGCGATGAGCGGATGGCGGGGGGGCATAGCTTGCCATAATATTAAGCTTATGTTACACACACACAAACGAACACACTCTCACACTCACACACACGCTCGCACACACAGTGAGCGACAGGTCCAATGTGGAGGCCCGTTTAGAGCGTTAAAGCAACTCGTACAATTTACAAACTTAAAAGTAATTTAGTTTTTTACGACTCCGCTGCGGTAATAAAAATGTTTTGCTCACTCGCTCGCTCGCTAGGGTGAACCGCTCCTTCCCTTCTTCTTCTCTCACTCTGTCCCTGTTTCTCTTACGCTTTCTTACACACTTTCGCAGCTCACCAAAAGTACAACTTCGTTTTACACTGCTGCCGTCTTCCAATTTACAACTTAACCCCCCGCCTCCCCGCTCCTCTACACGCCCCTGCCAAGCACTGCATTTACATTTATCGATACGTCTTTGTCGTTGTCTTCTTCTTCATCTTGACCCCCGCTCCCTGCCAAGCCCCCCTTAATGCCCACAAACCCACGAGCTACTCCGTACATTTCCTTAGCAAAAAAATCAAGATAATGTATATTTCTGGTTAAATATGTACTTTCATATATCTTGCAGATAAGCCACAGATGAAAACGATTTTTAGGTTAGATTCATAGAAATACATCTGCATTTATCGATCCACATGTCTAGAGCTTATCTACCCAAATAATATGTGTAATAAATATACAGAAGTGTGGTGAAGCATATGAAGAATAAGCCCTTTGATTGTTAAGAATACTTGTGATGTAACTTTTGCCTATATACTTAACATTACTGACTGATCTATTGACTGACTGACGGACTAACGGAATGACTGACTGACTGGCTGATAATCGAGGCACCGCCCAAGCCGCAAGAGATAGATAGTCAGCTGAATTTTGTACAGTAGTTACATATATTTTTCGGATATTTTTTGATAATAATAATGCTTTTTGTATTTTCTGGATGTAAGATTCTTTGCTTTTATTTTAAGATTTTTCTGGGCTTGGTTTAAATAGTTTCTGTGCTCATTTTGAATAAGTTTCCCTAATATTAACAATTGTAAGATTCACAAATACTAAATTAAGGCTCATTCCATAAGTATCTCAAATATTAAGTTAGTATCTTAATACTGTCTCTCAAATACTTTGTTTAAACTCATTCCAACTTTATTTAAGTTCACCTTTTTCTCTCAGTGCACATTGCAGAATTTTAATTGTTTTGTCGAGAAGAAAGTCAAAAGATCGCAGTGTATTTGGGAGAGTTCTTGTTTACTGCCTCCTTCTTTCCGTCCCCCCTATCTCTCTCTCTCTCCTTCTCTCTTTTGCTCTCTTTCTTCGTATCAGTCGCGGGCGCTAAAATAATTTTCTACGATTGAAGCGCACTGAAATAAAGCGCAAAATATGATGCCGCGAACCTTGACACATTAAAATAAGCAACAGCAGCGCCGACAGCGCCGGCAGCGACGCCAACGTTGACAGCGGCTGTGAGTAAGACGGCAAATGTTGACGACGTCGTCGTCGTCGACAGTCAGTAAATTTGCGTGTAAAAATAAAAATGTGAAAAAGCTTTGCGGCTGTTGTTGTTGCTGCTGTTGCTGGCTTCTGCTGTTTTGTCTGAATTTTATATTTTCATGTTTCAATGCGGCGCGCTGCAAAAATAAAATAAATAAATGCTGTGCACAACGCGGCGTATGATTAATGCGAATTAGCAGCGAGCGAGAGAGAGAGAGAGAGAGAGAGAGAGCGAGCAAAAACCAGTAAGCGAACTGCTAACCAGCAACTGTGTGGCCAACGGAAGTGGTCGAAAAATACGTGGAAAGCCTTTGCCAGTTAGCCACTATCCTACCCCACACCCTACCCCCCGCACACCCCCTCCTCCTATCGCCCACAAGCAACTTTTGTGTGCGTGAATCGAATTGAGTTGCGTTCAGTTCAGTTCTGCTGCGAGGCGCCGCGACGAGCTGTCTGCAGCCGCTGATAGACCTCCGCTACTCTATAAAGGGGGGCCAAGCGTGCGAGGGAAGCATGTTAATAAGTGCGACTAAAAGCCGTTAAGCGGCAGGCACACCAAGTGGTTCGGATTTATAAAGAGGACGGCTCACCTTTAGCCGACAATTGGGAGATCAACAAGTAACTGGGCTCTGGTCGGGAGTGCCCGACTAGAGGATACTCTGAACCTTCTTCTACCAACAGCAATTGCTGCTCGTGACAGGCGAAAGGAAGGGGCGGAAGTTAGCTATAAAATGGAAGACACTTGATCTGCTTTTCTGCTATTCTAGAAGCTAACTGTCAAATTTGTTGACTCTAGCTCTTAAAACCTAAGAGAATTAAAACCTTCAAAATTTTGGTTCGGTAATATTAAGACGTCTAGAAGCGCAGATGTGTAAAATATTCGCGCTGAAGACGGTTGCAGCCGAAATACATCGGAAAATATAAATTAAAAAGAAAATTATTATTAATTTTTGTTACAAACCAGCTTAACTAGAATTTATAAAAGGAAAGTTTGCCAAAAACTAGAAACGAAGTTGATAATTTTGACATTATATTGCAACAGCTTGGCTTTAAATTTGAAAAACTTTTTTCCTCGGCATGAACTATATACAACTTTTGCTGTGCTTTACCCCATTTTCCTTAATGAATCTATCAAAAAAACTGTGAAAATAACTTAATAGCGAGTTATAATAAATAAGTTTTTGTTACAGTCTCTACTCATTTCTTGATCTTGCAACCAAATTTATTAAAACATTTCATCAATAGGCTGAGAAATTATCAAAACAGCTACATGAAACAGTTTTCTCTTGTATCCAATTATCCACCCATTATAACTATTTTTAATTGCAAAAAATCACTAGTTAATTGAATGCAACATATTTGAAATTTTCTTCTTAATAGCTGAACTATTATATAAAATGTAATACATGCTCACATACATTATGCCGTTTGTTTTCAGCCTGTCAGCTGAGCAGCTTATTTTAAATACGAATATTTTTCAGCGCAGGCTTTCGTTTATAATTATAACTCGAAATTGAGTGCAGCTATAAAATATATTCGACTTTTCATTCAGTTTTTTCGTTATATTTTACAGCAATACTTTGTCAGATCTCATTAATAATACAACTCCTTTAACACCACCTTCCCTCCCCCCCACACTCTCGTTCACTTGTTGGCTAGTTTAATTAATTATAAAAAGCGCATTAATAAGTGTACATAATTTAGTAGTAGACTCCTCTATTCCGCTCTTGCTTTATTTTCCAATTAATTTGGAGCTATTTGAACCTGCAGTCCATGGCGTATGCTTAATATTTTAGCCTTGCAACTGCAAACGCCCCTCACATTTGTATTCAAGGCAGGGGGGGGGGGGGGGTGGGATGGAGGAGCAGTGCATGCACAGGGTTAAAGCATGTGGGCGTTTGCCACGCCCACTTAGTGCCAGCTCCTATTACATTTTCCATACTATTAATTATTTTGCACATTATAAGAAATTTCGCGCTCGGGCAGCAACAAAAAAAAAACAAAAAAAATCGTACAACAACAGAGGGATAGGGAGAGACAGAGAGTCTGGAAGATACCCTGTAAATGTAATGAATGCGGATCTGATGAATCCATCCCGATCGACAAACTAAATCAATTTCTTCAACTTGATCAAACTTGCGGCACAGTCTAAACAACTCCATATATAATTTTACGGAGTATTAAGACGATGCATGCATATAATAATTCATTTTTCAAGTCATTTAACTGCTTGCGAAAACTAATGAGAAATTATGTTGGCAAAATTAATTAAGAGACGCCACATTATAAGCTCAGACGGGGAAGAACAAGAAGAAGAACAATCGTCATAATAAGAAGTATTAATAATAATAATAATATTATTATCATTGAGGCATTTATACATCTATGCATATTAGCACACATTTGAATGATCGGCAGCGACCGCATTTTTCTTTGGCCATTTTTCCTTTTGGCCATTTGCATTTCTTGCGGCAGCTTTTTACTGCCGTTTGTTGCATGCACAATTCGTCGGTCGGGTTTGTCTATTTGTTGCTCTGTTTCTACACAGAGAGAAACACTTTTCTTTAATTGAAAAATTTAAGAAATGAGAATGGACGAGATTTTGCTTGGGCTTCTCATAAAAAAAGAAAATTAAAGGGATTCTACTGTGTATCGATTCTCGTTATCCTCTTTCTTTGTGTCTTTTTGTTGTTCTACCTTTACACAAAGCGAAAAACTTTTCTTTAATTGAAAAACAGCTTGCTCTTAGGGAAATATGAGCATGAAAAATAGTTTGCTTTTTGGGCTTCTCAAAAAAAAAACAAAGTAGAGGTTTATTTAAAAAATAAAGGTATCAACCCTAGTTTCTTTCCATCTTTGTGCCTATTTGTTGCAGAGAAAAAACTTATCTTTCAGAGAAAAACTTATCTTTAATTGAAAAACATCTCGGTCTTTGGGAAAAAATAGAATGGAAGACAGATGTTTTTGGTCTTCTCACGAAAAAAAAGAGATCTATTTAAAATATGGGATAAATTTAAAAATATAAAAAGTTAGATTTACTGTGCGTCGAACCTCGTTTCTTTCTTTCTTAGTGTCTATTTGTTGCTCTCATCTACACAGAAATAAACAGTTTTCTTTAATTGAAAATATCTTGGTCTTTGGGAGAAATGAGTAAGAAAATGGTTTTATTTAAGGTTTATATTTAAGAAATCAAAATTAAGTTTTACTGTGCATCGAACCTCGTTCCTTTTTTTCCTTCCACTTTCTACACGCACTTTCAGCCCGATTACAACCAACTTTAGTCTGATAAATGAAGGGAGCGAGAGATAGTAAACGAGAAGATTTTAAGATCAATATTTGCCCTAACTTTGGGTAATAATTTGAAAAAGTAAATAAAAGGAAATAGTACCTATATAATTAGTATATAATATAATTGGCACATTGTGTACATATATATAATTGGTCTGATATTTATTTTAGTGTAGAAATTTAAAAGTATTCCGTTGAAATATAAAATTCAATTGCATTCCAAAATTGCTTTAAATTTAACAAAAAACAAATAGATTGTCCGCACTTTTTGCGCAATTTTCGTTGATTTATTTAGCATATTTTGATTTATGTTTTTTAATTTCGCTCGCGTTGGAAAAACTGATTTGTGTGGAGGGAGGATGGCAGAGCGGGGTGTGCTAGAGAGGAGGGTGGGGTGGGGTGGGGGGTTATCTAATGAGTCTGCAGCTAATAAATTTGCATTCGCCATGCATAATTTCTCAGAGGAAATACAAATGTCAAATAAATAAACACACACACACACAGAGAAAACACTTCTAGAGAGGCCCGAAAATTCTTCAGAAAAACAAAAACAAATAAAAATAAAAACATTATGCAAAATATTTTTGGTGACTGTCGCTGGGAAATTACCCAAAGAAAAAAAGTTTCGCATTAATTTCAATGAATTCTTTTTTTAAAAGAAAATTTATGCTAGATTTAAACTTTTTATTTTTAGTTGCGCTTAATTTGTTCTTTAAGTTTTTTACGCTTTTTTTATCATGATATTTTAATTAAAAACTATTGATATAATATTTATTGATATTATAATATTTATTTGCTAATTTATAAAATTATTTTTTAGTCTGTTTTCATTTATTATTTGTTTAAAGTATTTACATACGTATTATTTTTATTTTTTTAATATTTTATTTCACTTTTTTTTATACCATTTTTATTTTTGTAATTTTTATGTTGTATCTTTTATTTCATTTTGTTTTTGTATTATTTTTATTTTTTATTTAAATGTATTTTTGATTAATTATTTTGTAGTAATTACATTATTTTATTTAAACATTTGATTCTTCATTTATACATTTTTTAATATTTGTTCTTTTATATTTTATTATTTATGTTTGTTTTTTGTTGTTTGTCTGTTTTAAATAAAATAAAAAAGATAATTATTCACCAAACGGTTTGAAATAATCGTAAAATGTTGCACTTGTAACTGATTCGATTTTCTATGATATTTTGCCTTTTGTTGCTGTTGTTGCTATTTTTGTTGTTGTTGCTTTTGTTGGGTAAACACTTTTGAGCCGCTTGCACTTGATGTTTATTTGTTGTTTTTCTTTTAAATTTTATTTTTATTATTATTATTATTTTCTTTTTAAACGCACAGCGAGCGTCGCTTTTCTTTTGCTTTCGGCTTGTGATTTGCTGCTGCTGCCGTTGTTGTTGTTTTTGCTGCTGTTGCTTTCAGTTGCGGCTGCTGCTGCTGCTGTCGTGAGTCGTTTGGCAGTCGGTTTATAACTGGCACGAGCCGCTGCCAGCGAAGCAGCACGAACCGAATGCGGACAGAGACCGTTGACGTTGGCAGCGACGTCAGCAGCGAGAAAGTTTGCGTTTGCATTGTTGCAGCGCAGCAGCAGCAAAGGCAGCCAAGCGAATTTTTCAGCGCTGTAAAATGTGCGCGCGCGTGTATGCGTGCGTGTAACTGTGGGGGTGGCTGTAAGCTGTCAAGCTGTTATGTTAAGTCTGTCTGTTACCTTTAACAGCGCGTCGCCGTTTGGCTTATCAGTTGTCGCTGTTACATGTCAGCGCCGACGTCGCTGCCAGCGACGCTGCCTGCTGCCGCTTTCATGTTAAAACCAATTCGTTTGTCATTTGTTTAATGACACAAATATTTGTGCAAAGTGTATGTGTGTGTGTGCTACTCAACTCATTTTCAATTTCCATTTTCTTTTTGCCCATTTATTGTAATAATATTGTCTGTTGTTTATTTTTCTTTTTTTGGCGTCATAAAAGTTTTCCGACTTGTTTTCCACATAGCTACTTTGTACGTGTGTGTGAGTGTTGCAAAGTGTGCTATAAATTTGATTACTACATAATAGCCCCCAATAATAAAGCGACTAATGACAATACTCCGGCAGGTGCTGTGGCGGTAGGCGGAGGGGAGGGTGAGGCTGGGGTTAAGCTTTTGTGTTTCGTTTCTGTGCGCCTTTCAGCCAAATTGAATTCCATTTGATGACTGTTAAATTAAGTTGAAATGTTCTGCTGCCTCGTCTTACGACACCCCTCCACCCAACCCCCTTCTAGCTTTGGTAACTGTAACAAGGACGCGCGAGAGGAGTTGTCGGGTGGGTACCAGCGCTCGAGTTTCACAACCCTCGCAACAACAGCAACAACAATGTAAACAACTAAATAAGGAAGTGACACCGGAAGCGCCGGCAGCGCAGCCAGCAGCAGTGCTGCGACGCCAGCAGCGACGCGTGGCTGCCAACGCGCGCGCGGAATGCGCAAAGGAATGTCTCAAAAAAATATGCTGGCAGCTCCTGCGAGCAATAACAGCAGCCCAAGGCAAGAATCACTCAAAGCCCGGCAGCGCAACAGCGACTGCGACAGCGGCAGCGACTGCGAGAGAGGGCGAGCGAGAGCCGACGCAACGTCGCTCAGGAGTGTAATATTTTCACTCTCTCTCTCTCTCTCTCTCTCTCTCTCTCTCTCTCTCTCTCTCTCTCTCTCTCTCTCTCTCCCACTCGCTGCTGCTCTCGCTAGCAAAATGCCAACGACACCGGCCGGCTGAAACTAGTAAGAGCCACAGCCAAGCTTCAGCCCACCCTTGCGCCGCCCCCCAGGCCCTCTTTGGCACACTCTGCCACGCACTTTGCAGTTTAACCTATAAAAATACCGCAGCAACAGCGGCGACGGCAGCAGGTTTGCGACTGCAGCAGCAGCATGGAAAATGTTGGCGCTGCTGTTGCGTTTACTGTTGCTGCTCTTTGTCTCTGCGCGCCTGTTACGCACGCAACGAAGTTGCTAACACACACACAGGCGCGCGCGCAAATACGCAGCGACGCGAGCGCCGTTGTTCTGTTACGAAGCTGTTGCTGTTATTGCTGTAGCTGTTGCTGCCTTTGTTGTTGTTGTTGTCAGTGCCGTTCATTTATTTGATTTTGTTGTGATTATGCGCAGTGCATGAGCGTCAGCGCCAGCGCCAACGTCGGCGTCGCGCTGTAGCCAGCGACCCATGGAGGGCATTGAGTACTTAAAAACAATAACAACAACATGAGCAGCATATAAAATATGCAATGAACGAGCGAGCGCGACTTGCAGATACCCTAGCAAAAATATTTTCAATCTAAAAATTTTAAACAAAATGTGAACCACATATTGAAAAGAAAAATAAACAAAATGTTTAAATATGCTGCTAATATTGCTGGGTATAAATGGACAACAACAAGTTGTGGCCTCTAATATACCCTCTGATATAAATATGAAACATATGCAGGAAAAATAATAAGATGCAAATATCTTATATGATTTAAACAAATATTTTTCTTCAACGAAATGCTCGGTAGAGCAATTGAGATTCGGACTGGAACTACAGACTAATGAAATGATGTAGTTACCTACTTATGCACCGTAATTGTCTAAAAAGCAAGGAAATATATGGAAATATATACATATTTATTGTCCGAGTCTTTTTAAGTAATTTATAACAGATATGAGTTATCTACGTGACTCGTCCATGTAGGCTGATGACTGAGAAGGTTGCTGGTTCGAACCTAGGTTAATTGTGACCAGGGCGAGATTTAGACCGTAATATTGATAGCTTATAACTATATCCCCTACTTATAGAAATAACTGATTAGTCTGAGTCGGACATTCGGTTAACTGAAGAAGGTTGCTGGTTCGAACCATGAAACAGCGCCATATTGTAGAAATGTCTTAGGCAAAGGCCATGACCCAGTACTATTGAGTTGATAAACCTCTATTCAATACTGATAATATAAATAAAGTTTCGATAAACTGTTTTTGTTTTTATGCTATATCTTATGGGTTTGTATACCTTTTGGATACGCAATGCCCACCACACCTCGTGCGAAATCGTGCTACCCGGCAATTTCGTCATGTGGTGGCATAGCCAGAGACAGAGACGGAGGCGGAGGCGGAGGCGGAGATGTTGGTGGCAGGGGCAACGACAATGGCAGCCATTTCTATGGCTCTGTTTTCTGTAGCTGTTGCTTCGATGTTGCCTCGTAAAAACTCATCGCCAGTTCGGGGCGGCGCTCAACTGGAAATGCGGCCCAGCCAGAGGCTGCAGGTGTGTGCCTGTCCAAAGATATATAGATATATATATATGTATCTGAATGTACGTATATATATATGTGTGTATCTTTTAGATACTTGGCCTGAGTGCGCGCCCGATGGCAATGCTTAATTAGTGGCTGGCAGCATGTTTGAGTTTTATAAATGATGTTCGAGATGGGGCCCAGTTGCTCGGGATCTGAACCAGGTTTATTTCATGTACAACACACACAGAAACGATCAACAATCAATTAATTTTGTCAACGCCAAAACTTTTCGAGATACGTACGTCCGACCTCTGGCCGCCCCCGCTCTCCGCAATCTAGATGAGCTGGGGCTCCTCCCGCCGATCTGGATGATAGCGTATGGTAAAGCTATCGAAACTGTGCACTGGTACCTCCTTCGTGGGCGAGAACTCGGCCCGCTCGATGACCGCCTTCTCGCTGCCAAAGCAGAGCAGCCAGAACTTCAGCTCGTTCACCTTTGGAAGTGTGCCCTCCAACTCGCCGGTCACAGTCCCGCGATCCGTGTTCATCACCCAGCCGCGCACCCCGTTCGACAGAGCCAGCGAGCGGGTTGCTTTGCGCATTCGCACGCCCTGCACCTCGCCAAATACCTCAAAGCCGCAGGTAAATATTTGCTCCTCCGGAGTTTGCATGCTGACGATTATCAAATCGAATCAAATTTTATATATATTCCGTATTAAGTTTTGCTTCCGCTGAGGGTTGTGAAAACAAAGTGAAATTGATATTGTGGAGCCCCAAGTTAATTTTCAAAGCCAGCTAAGTTCTCCCTCACTTTGGCAGGGCCAACCACTTTTATAGTTTTATATTTCAAATCAGTTTACATCTCTAATGGATAAGTTCCACGCGCGCTGGTGGAAAATACGTGGAGTAGCTTAGTCTTAGCCAACTACTCCCCATAATGAAGATAATCATCAGGCACTCAATCAGTTAATCGGTTAGTCAGGACCTTGGGTTTCGTTTCTAAACATTTGGAAGAAAACTACCCCAACTAAATGCACTCTACAGATATCCGTGTGAAAAAAAATAACGGGAATGACTTGTGAATTGCGCAACTCGCATGGATTCTTATGTGAAGTGCTCGGAACTTGGTTTCTATTGGCAGCACCCTCGCAGCTAATCACATTGTATCTTTTGTATGGCCTTATCCTATATCCCATATCAGCGCTGGGGACTCATAAATCACATGCCACACACAGAAAGAGACACACACATACACACATTGATACTTTCTGGTTCATCTCATGGCAATCCAATCAACTGGCAATGCCACAAAAAGTTAACAACAACCACCGTCTTGCCAAATGTTGCAACCCCCTACCCCCCCCCCCCCCCCCCCCACTTCACCTCACCTACCTCCTACTAGAACCGCCCCTGAACCACGGCAAAACAATAACTAGGCGAGATAAACAGACAACATTTGGCGGTAATGCAAACGTTGCTGCTGACGACGATTCTATGGCAAATATTTAATATGATATTTATGGTGAATGCGGGCGGGCGGGCGGTCGGACGCACGGTCGAGCCAAGACTGGGCAAAAAGAGGCCGGTGATAAATGACTACGGCGACGGCGAAACTGCTGCCCGCCAACTCCCCCTATGCCAAGGCAGCGCAGCAGCAGCAACAAAAGCAGCGACGTGCTCATTCAAATGTAACAGCACGAGCCGCTGCTGCTGCTGCTGCCGCCGCTGTCGCTGTCGCTGCCTTTCGTTGAGCCGAAGGTGAGCAAGCCAAATCAAACAAGCCGAAGCGCAAAAGCAAAAAATATACAAAATAAAATAAACAATGATGAAAAACGCAACGCTTCAAGGGATTTCGCTGCTGTTGTTGTTATTGTTGAGCAAACTTGGGCTTCAATTGCGACGCATAAAACTTGACTTGAACTGAACGAAAAACAGAGAAGAGCGAGGTCAGCGCAGCAGAGCCCACAGCGGCTGTTAACAGCGAGTTCGAGCTGCGTGCGAACGAGAGTAAATGCAAGCTGAGCTTAGGGCATACTGTTAGTAACAGTCGATCGTTCGTTTGTTTCACTTGAAAACTTAATATCGAGCGAGGTCAGCGCAGCACTGTAACTAACAGCGTGTAACAGATCGAGAGAGAGAGAGAAAGAGAGAGAATATGCAAGTTGAGCTTAAAGCGAGCTGTTAGCTGCATTTGATTGCTGTAAAAGCAATCGCTGCTCGATCCTCATTTAACAGCTCCGCTTTTGGTATATTAAATATTGCCAAAATGCCTTAAAAAAATAAATTCAACAAGATTTCACGTACGCATCAATAACAAAATACATAAAAGTACAGTCTACAACACACATATGTATGTATATATATTTTCTAATTGAAATGCAAATGAAAAGCTAAATACTAAAATTAGCTTAAATATAAAACTGAAGAGGCAGCACCGAAAACAGCGCCAGGCAACAACAGCAGTAACACAAATCGACAACAAAATACAAAAATCAAAGGGGAAAAAACCAGCTGAACGATAATTCAAACGCAATATGTAAACACTTCAAATCTGGGAACAGAAAAACAAAAAAAACAAAAAAACAACAACATTGAACTATAAATGCAAATGTGTTGGTGTCTAAGAAAAATGTAAAGAAAAGAAAGAACAAGCAGCAGAGTAACAGCGGCAGCGAATGCTACGCCGCTGCAACAGCGCAGCTGGCCCAGGCGCTTGCAGATGTTGAGGGCGGGCGTCAAGTTAGGGTGGGAGTGAGAGACGTCGCTTTGGTCTCTGCTGCGTTTGGTATTTCGGCGCTGTGCGTTTCGCTTCGTCTCATCATGGCTCGGCTTGGCTTGGCTTTTAATACACACACACACACACAGACTAACACAAGTGAAAACTGACTTGTTTGTTTACGCGATGACACAATTCTAAATCTGTCTTGGTATCTCGCTCCCACTCATACACCGTATTCGTATGCATGTGTATGTATGCGTGTGTTTGTGTGCTTAAACTGGGCTTTGTTTGCCAAGGTTTGAGGTTTACGATTTGATTTTATGACACTTTATGCTCAGGATTTGATTAAGTTCCAGTATAACAACGACTACAACTTGATATTTAACCTAGCAAGGCAAACGGGGGGGCGTGACGAGAAAATATCAAGCACTCCCCCTCCCGTCCCCTTAAAAATAATTTTGAAACAGTTTTTCTTTACCAATATCTGAACATACAATACCCAGGTGAGTGACATTTCAGATTATCTCATACATGAATGTTAATCTGTACACAATTCCCTTTGCATTTCCACTTATATTTCGCACTCTGATTATTGTTTACGCTACTTACGTACTTTTCCGCTTAAAATTGAGCGTTGTCAACACTAAAACGAAACTCACCTGCAATGAGAAAGAGAGAGGGAGAATGCTGATTAACAAATGCAGCGTGAACGCAACTCGAATGATAAATCAACTGGCTAAAAATACAACAACAATAATGACAAGAACAGCAGCAGCAGCAGTAGCAACAGCAATAACAACAGTAACGCCGACGTTAGCGCTGACGTCGACGTCAGCGGCCAAAAAAGGCAAACAATTGCAAAAATCTGCATGTGGCTGCCGTGCGCGACGGCCAAAGCGAAGCTAAAAATATTTCTGCTCGCTTAGATATCCAAAATTAGCTGCGACGTTGCGACGTCAGCAGAGAGAGAGAGTGACAGAGAGAGAACGACGATGGCAGAGGCGGCAATGGCGACGCTGTCGACGTCACCGTTGAGCGGCGCGTCGCTGACGTTCTGCGGCTACGACTGCGGCAGCTGGCAGCAGGTTGGCAGACAGTCTGCCACTGATAACGGGAAATGGCATGCCAACACCAACAACTACTCACCACGTCTCACTCACACTCGCACTCACACTCTCTCTCTGCTCTCGCCCAGCAGGCAGTGGCCGCAACTCGCGCGCTCTCTTCATGCAACTCTGGGCAACGCTCACGCCAAAATAAACAAAACAAATGTAAAGTGCGCCCCTTTGCGACGTTATGCTGCGATTGTCCCCCGCACACTGCACTATACTGAGCGAACCATGAAAATAAATATGTGGGCATAACAAAAATGAAAATTGTACGCGAAATGTGCCGCAAATGGCAGCAGATTTGCCATTAAAATGTACACAGCGGCTTTATATTATACACTGAGAATGAGCGACATAGTGTCAGAGTGTGGGAGAGCGCGTGCGAGGGTGAGTGAGTGAGTGAGTGCCAGAAAGCATAGACAAACAGTCGTAGCATAACAAAAGAAATTGACGAAACACTAGCTGTGCGGGGCGCTGTTAAACAGCTGTTAGCTAACAGTCGCGCGTGTCGAACAGAATGTTAAACTGGCTACAAAAAGCAATTTGGACTATAATAAATTAATTAGAGGTTTCTGTGTTTATTTTAGAACAAATTTTTGTTTGACTTCAATAGATACAAGTTTGTTCCTCGAAAAAAAAAATTATCTAGTGAAATTAAAGCTATGCACAATATACATACATTTTTTTAACGCTTGCGAAGTTTTCTCAACTTTTCATGGTTTGATTTTGTGTTGCAACCAATGAAAATTACACAAAAAAATTGGGAAAATCAATTTAAACGCATTCTTGTTTAAATTTTTAAGATTTCTTTTTCCATTTTTCAACTAATTTTTTGTGTATTAGTAACTATTACATAAAAACTTAAGCACGTATACGCACTGTGATGCGCTTGAATAAAAATTTAAAAAACTTCCTATATAGTTGTTGTTGTTGTTGTTGTTATTGTGGCTGACAAGTGCCGCATCTGTTTTGTAAATTAATTAATATATTTTACACGTAAGTGCAAAAATAAATCATCAACAGTGGCAAGCGCAGAAAAAAAGGGAATAATTTTATTATAAAAAAAAACGTGCATAATTAAATTTTAAAGTATTATTTACAGTCACACGCAGTTGCATAGAAATAGAACAATAATATAACAAATACTCTAAAATGCGATTTATTCAATATAAAATTAGCTTCTTAACATTTTTTGGGGTTTGAATAAAATACAAAACATTTATGTACTAATACGTTTTGTTGAAACTTACAAAAATATATATATATAAATATATATACAAATATTTATACCCTTGCACAGCAAATAATAATTATAGGGTATATAAAAAGTGAGTGTATATAGCAAAAGGCAATATAAAAATGCAAGTGATAGCCAACAGCAGCGACGTGCTGACAAATTCAATTAGCCTGACAACTAGAGTTGGCCAATAGATGACAACAACAACAACAACAACCAAATAATATGAGGCAAATTTTTAAAGTGAGAAGCAAACGCGTTAAATGTGTGAAATGAAAATTGCATTATGCCAAGAGGAAAATATTTGAATAATTGATTTTTGTTTTTCTGAACTGGCATTTGCAGTTATTTGTGAAAGCCAGAAATAAGTGCATAAAGACTCGCATTAAATGAAGGAATTTCAGTTAAGAGTATTTCACAGTAAACTGAGTAAAGGTTTAATAAAATAAACAACTTGGGCTCGGACTTGGTTGAATTCTTTAATTGGAGTGAATATATATATGCACTAAATATACCCTATAGATATACCCTAATATCGAATTTCGCATTACGTATACACAATATAATAAATATTATCAGAATAATAATCCGAATATCCCCTTTAGATATAGCCCATATTCAGTTCAAGCCTGGCATAGATATTATTAACATTTAAAATTGCATATTACGTATACGCAATGTGTCACT